CGTTTTGCCGTTGCCGCCGACGACATATGCTCGTGGTCGCCTGTCCATGCTTCCGCACACATGCTGCTACGCGGAGCAAGGTGGATGCAGAGGTGGCGGCGGCGCTCACGGCGCAGCGGAGGCGAGCCGATCTGCCTCCCTGGCTGGCATCTACGCCTTTCCTCCTTCTCCAGCCGGTGAATTCCCGGTTGATCTCCTTCTCCCGCGGCTTCCTCGCGAGCTGTGGTGGATAAGGACCTCGGGAGGCGCTGGATCTCATCGACGGTAGATCTCCTAGGGCTGCCGGGGGGAGGGGGAAGGGAGGAGCGAGGAGACCTATGGGTTGGGGGCACCCACACCGCACGCTCTTGCTGCCTTAGACAAGAAGCGGCATGGCGCAGGGGTCAGGCAGAGCACAACGTAGGAGTCAGCCGCACAACTCTCCCCAACACCAAATGCGAACGAAAACGACGACGCGGCGACCCCGACGAGACACGCATCTAGTGCAGCCGACAAGCAGGACCACGAGTAGCTTCGGCCCACCTGTCATCGCGGCATGCGAAAGACGGTTGCAGAAGCCGGGTGCACACACACCGGCCGACCCCTCCGCAACTGCTCCCCACGACGCACGATGCACGACGCGGGCAACACTCCAGGAACGTCCCGCCAAGAGCGGTTGACTGGAAAAATCTATAACCTGAGTCTGCGCGCACACAAAAATGCAACATTCACTGACACACGGGACCAAGAGGAATATGGGCCCACATACAGCGTCACCCACCAGCGAATCAGAGGGGCGAGCAGGAACCGTAAATCGCGTGCAGCACTCAGGACGCACCCACGCAACGTGGCAGGAGAGGCCGCCCGGGCAACCGAAAAAGGCTCACCCAGCCAATCAGTTGAGAGACCGAGCCCACAGGTCATGGTCTGCCATGAACTCACCATGCAATCAAAACGAAAACAAATGAAGATCCAACATCGGCCAACACAAATAGAAGCAGTTTGACCAACATCCAACAACCCAAATTGAAGCAAAACAAGGGACAACCGAGGAGACGAGTTGGCTAGCCTCATTATATGTTTAAACTAGTGGACCCGTTGCGCCAAATGGCGCAGAGGCACGCTAAATCCATGTGCGCAATGAAAAAAATATCCTTGGTTTAATCCCCTTTAGTAGGAAACATCATGAACTGTTGTCTATGATGAGATGTATATACATATTTTAATTTTATAGCACAAAATACTTGCTACCATGTTTGCACAGACCCATTTGAAATCAATCATGTTCACACTGAAAACATTTGCATTTTCCAATGACTTTGTGTTTGAGCAAAAAATACATAGGCTCTTGTTTAAGAATGTATGTACCTTTAAAATCATTAAATGCTTTCAAAATATTTTCATTAGTTAGGAGCTTTAGGTTTGAGCAAACATGTATGATTGGAGCTTTAGCCCTTCTGTATAAAAATAATACTACGAAACATCTCCATAATAGCTAGCTATGGTCTATGACATTTGTTTCATAACTATCAAAATGACTAAAACATCATTTCTATTGAATCACGCAGACTAAAGAAAACAAGGGGGATTAATCAATAGTTCAACACTAAAACATTATTTCGGAACCAATACAATCTTTTAATCGATTTCTCGCCTATGATATAAGAGGCTGCAGACGGAAAGTAAAACCAAAATCCGTGTCACCTTGACGAATATGCAGAATTTGGCATGTTTGGCAATTGAAAAACATTCAAGGATACAATATCTTTGACTTTAGCAGAAAGCGAAATATTGGTATAGTGCTCAAACAATCCCAAAATGGTATAAAGAAATGAGAAATGGTAAAGTTGTTAACATTGTTCAAAATGGTAATTTAGAAACCTATCCTAGCCTTCCAGTTTATAGAAAGAAAAGAGAAGGGAGCTTAGACAGCCTTTACAAAATGCTAATTCATCCACTAAGCTTCTGCCAGAAATAAGCATGCATTGTAGATTCACTAATTAACTATGTTGCATGGAGAACTTATTTTGTCAGGGGTAGTCTATGTGACAAACTACCCCCAGTGACAAAGCTATAAACCTACCTCTAGTGACAAAGCTATAAACTATCTAATGGACAAAAATAAAGCTTTTGACATTCTGCATACTATCTTTCCCTACCACAATGTGATGAAGCTCTGAAACTGTACACGCATGGCAATAGGAAAAATGAAGCTCTAGAACTGTAGACACTGTACAAAGCTATAAACTCTCTAATGGAGTTGACTTCTTTAACCAAACTAAAGCCAGCGCATGGCATATGGTTAGAGCTAAGCGAGCACGCATACATTGTTTGAATTTTTAATGGCACAAACGTTCCAAGAACAAAACATATGAAGAACCCAGTAGCATCAATCAGTTCCAACACCACCTTACACCTCAAATCCATATGCCCATTGCATGATGATTAAACACGCACTTCACAGGGGAGTGTATGATGCCAAAAGAACACCTGCATACACACGCAAGTAAAATGGTACAGCCACAATAGGACTTGGAAAGAAAAAGTCTGAACTACCTGTTAGATGTACAGGTATCACAACCCAGAGTGCAACACATTTTATAGCAGCAACATCAGATATCAAAATGCACTACATCTCAGACTGTCGATCCTTGATAAATAAACAAAAGCACATTCAACGTGGTTGTAGTTTCAAACAATCACATGAAAAATTCTGCCTACACACCTAAACTAAACCAGCAAGTTATGGTAGTGGCCCGGAGAAATAATTTAGAGAAGCGACATAAAGCAGAGGAGAAGGCAGATGGTAAATCATCGAAACTCAAAACATGTTACAACACAAAATATTTGTTTATTCCAGAAATATAAGTGAGCATTTGATGAGAGGAAAATACACTCTATTAAGGGAAGTAGAACATTTCATAATGCTCACCTAACATGTACAAAACAGAGATCAACCATGTAATTTTACTACATGGTAGGTTATCATTTTACTTTCCTTGTCCAGCAAAGAGGAGTCACAGTTTGCAAGTACTATAGCTTCATTCGTATATCCTTGAAAAATAGAGTCGGGTGCAACATTTATACACCACGTCTAATATCAGTTAATGAGAAAAAAGTAGTGGAACTAATAAGCACGCAAATTCTCAAATCAATCTCCACAACATCGTCTGCAGAAAATTTTACAAAAGAAAAGGTCAATCTCTTCTTTTATCATACCAGATGTACATCAAGTACGTTTCATTTGCAGACAATAGGAAAACCTTAATCCAACTGAAAGATGGACAATCCTGAAACAATGATGAACATCAGCTCCATTGACTTGTGTAGTCCAGGGATAGCAAAAGTACCTAATTAAATATTACATGTATATGACCTTGCGATTCTTAGGCTTTGTGAAGAACTGGAAAGTTGACTTCAGTCCAATCGTTAGAGAAACACCAGAGACGAAGAGAACCTGACATGAAATGCATGATAATTAGGATGCAATAGGTTAGAGCGAAGTATAAGTAAACCAGGAGGATGATTCTTACATTTCCCATTGCAAGGAACCCCTTGTCAAACAGCATGAGGATCCTAAGAAACGAGAAGAGAACTCCAAAAACCCAGTCAAGCCCAGCCCGATCTCTGTTGGAAAATGTGAAACAATTAGAGCAAGAGTTCAGAGATGCAAGTGCATTGTACAGAACAAGTGTCACTTAGTTAAACTAAACATCCAACATGCATACTTAGAGAGTGCGTTCAGAAGTAACTTTAGCAACTATTAGATGGTCCCTCCTGATTATATCTTCCTGGAAATTTGTACAACAACCAACGAAAAAAGAATAAAAGACTGAACAGCATGAATGGTTCTTATTCTGAGCATGAACAGATCTACACTATAACCATATGAAGTGAGGTTCAGTGAATAATACCTAGAGGAAGCAATTCTTATTCCATCCAACCCTTCGTCCAGCACAACAAGATGGAACCATATCCATAATTGACGTTGTATGAACAACAATTTCCTTCATTAAATCTGGACTGGGAACTGGGCAAATCTGTTTCCATGTACAATAGAGAGACAGATAAGGGGATGAGAGAGAGCATAGAAAGGAACGGGAAAGTACATGCGCTTGGAGGGGGAGGCTAGCCTCACCAGCGTCCAGCAGTGGTGGTGAAAAGGAGCACGTGGACGACGGCTTCCTCGACCAAAAGAACGACGACGGTGACGGATCTGACGGCCTCGGGCTGCCATTGTCAAGACCTACCCCTCGTCAGGCAGGGAAGAATCAAGCCGCGGGGCTACTCGTGTAGGCACGGCCCGGGGCGATTGGATTATGCCATCCCCTTCCCCATCGTTCATCTGCCTCCCTTCCTCCTCTCTGCTACCCATGACTCCGCCTGAGTCAGGCTGGGATGAGAGATGGAGCCATGGACGAGTCTAGCGGCGTCCGACGCGGGAGGGTACGGCGGCTGTGGCGGCTGACGAGCGAGGAAGGAAGGAGGAGGAAGGGTGTGGAAGACGGCTGTGGGGATCGAACATATAAATCCTGCTGTGCAATCCGCTCATCCGAACGCCTTCCTGCGCGCATCATTCGTGTCCGTTGGATCTCCTTTGTCATTGACTCCAGATCATTCGATCATTTGACTGCTGGTAATTTTCTCACCGTGCAGTTACTTTTATTGGCCTATGACTGGTGGGCTAAGCCTCGCATGGATTGGCTGGGTCAGCCGTTCCCGTGTAGGGATTAGCCACCCACTACGCGCCCGCCCCGTGCTCGACGTGCATTCCTCAGCCCCCGCGCCCCCTCCGCTCTCTCCTCCCCCTCCTCGTCCCTGTCCCAACCCTAATCCTTTTCCCTCTCCACCCCGCAGCCGCCCCCTAGCTCCTCGTCCCCTTCACTCAGTCCATCCCTCCTCATCCCAGATCCAGCGGATCCGAGGCGTGCAGACACGGAGGCGAGTTTCTCTGGCGCCGGTGGCAACCTGCAAGCAAAGGGCGGCGGCGGCGCTCGATTTGATCTGCAGGAGAGAGAGAGATGGAGAGGAGGGACGCCACCATGGGAGAACAGGGCCAACTTCGTGGTGGGCATGGAGGCGCAGAGGAGGATGGCGATGGGGGATGGGAGCAGAGTAGCAGGACTTCCAGGCGGTGCTCGCGTCATGGTGGAGTGGAGGAGCTCGTCGTCCATCATCACAATCCACAATCTAGGTTGCTCCCCCCTCCTCTCCCAGTTATTATCTCAGTTCTCTGATTTTATGATTTTGATTCTCAATTTCTGTTTTTTTTTCAGATCTGAGATAGAAAAGAAGAGAAAGAATCTTGTGGAATTTCAGATCTGAGATAGGAACGGGGAGAAAGAATCTTGTGAAAGAGCCTGACGAAAAAGAAAGGGGTGAATCACCACTTTCTCCCATTCATGTTTGTTTCTGCATTTTATTTTTAAGATGCAGGTTGGCCAACTGTAACAATAGAAATATATGTGCAATTTTTGTTTGTGTACTTCAATAAAAATATATTTTCACTTGACCTCGAGGGCGGTTGCATCCAGTTATTGTTTCCGGGAGATTTATTGGTGAAGGTCTAAATATTTTAAGATATATTGACGAGATATCACTCATGAAGGAATGCTCAAGGGCATAAGATCTAATGTTCTTCATGTTATACAGTCATCTGGTATAAATTGCTAGAGTAGATAAGAAACAGATTTCCAACATAATAAACAGCTCACATTCCTTGGTATTGGCATATGGTTCTGAAACTTAATATGCACAATAGAGTATGTATTGCAGTCTGGATTATATCAAAGTTTGGTTCAAAATGAACAAACATCAGCATTGTATCCGTACTGGATGCAAGTGATTTGAATTTTTTCAGTCAGTTAACAAGCAGTTTTCCAATTAACAAAACGACAGTGTAGAAGCTCTTTTACTAATGAGATACATAAGGTGCATAATACTGGTTCAAACAGCAGCAGTTTTTCAACCAGTTAACAAACAGTAGAAGTTTTACTACTGAGATAAGCACCAGTTTTTCAGTGTACAAACAACAGCAGTTTTACTACTGAGATAAGCAGCAATTTTTCAGTCAGCTAACAAGCAACAGTTTTGCAGTAACATCTTTCATGTATACTTCCAATGCATAAACATGAGCAGAGATACGCTACAATTTAGGCAAAGAATGAATCAAAAAATTGCAGAGAAGCAGCAAAATAAGTTCCTTCTTTGAGAGAATGCAAATCAGATATGTTTGTTTCAGGGTTCAGACTTCAAGATAACTAAAATGCATCCCCTAACTTTTTTTTAGGCAAGATCCAGTTTCATTTCTTATATTTGTGCTTCTTCATTGAGTGATCTCCAACTTTCTATTGTTTACAAATTCCAAATAGAGCTCCTGGTTTGCTGTGTTGATTGGTACCATACATAAGTTGAACTTTGTTTTCAAATGGAAGGACCTAATAATCTACTTCTTATATTATGGGACGGAGTAGTAACATGTATGTGTGGCGGCACAAGGAGCATTTCCTTCTGAAAAAATAATATTAAAGATAAGTCAATGACACAAAGTACTGAATAAATCAATACTTCTAATGATCTATATGATACATACTTTCCATGTTACCTCTACTATATAGTTTTACAGTACAATGTCACATTTCTGATCTGTAGTGTACCTCAGTTACTAGCATGATATAAAGTTTATGGATAATTGCCAACAGAGTTCTCATATGTTTCTATGTATCTGAATGTTCACATTCATCAAGTTTAAGCTTTATGTATAGCTTATGTCTTTGAAGTTAAGCAGTCACACAGTCGTAGGTCCACCGTTTCATGATTTTTAATTTGCTAACTGGGTAAAAGATTCCTTGTCCTTGGTGAGATACATGAATTCACATTGTTTCGTACCAGATGTACGAAGAACAAAGATATCTTTCTTTATCTTTATTTTCCTCGACTACATATTATTTAACCGTGTCATGTTTATAACCTACTTGACATCGATACGGTTCTATGAGAGGTCATTGCTTATGCATCAGTCCTCAAGGTGGATGTTGTTCATTTAGATATTACATTTTGTTGCCATGTTTCCACATTAGTCAAAAGTGTTCATCTCAATAATTTATTAAGAGTGGCTTCGAATAATATGGCATCAAAACGTTTGTTTTCTCTCCAACCAATAATGAAATGATATCTGTGCATATAAAACGGCTACCAATTCTTGGTTTTTATTAGCTTCTTGAAAAAGGGGCGCAACAGGTCAATGGACTATTGTATTGCTGATGATAATGTTGTTTCGTGTAGAAAGGAATTTTCTCCTTGCTTTCATATGTCGATATCAACTCACTGCTTGATTCAGGTGCTTTTTCGTGTAGATAGGGTGACAGGAATATTCCTGTTATATATTTACCAGTTAGCACACGTAATCTGGTACTCTGATTTCTTTGACACTTTTCTCTTCACGATGTAGTCAAGGCAAAAGGCATTAGGAGACCTCCAATCTGCAGAATGGCATGGTATGAATACATGTGACACCCGCTGTTCATTTCACTGCTTTTATAAAATTTATGCATTCTTCCTTCACTTTTTTGTACTTACATGTTTTGCGCTGTTGAGTTAACTCAGTTGTAGATAACAATTTTGCTCTGTATTCACTTTAGCTAACATTTTTTTTGCTACTGTTAAAACATATACTGCTTTTTAAGGGAAGCATAACTATTGTTTTATTTTATTAACCCTAGATGTTCCTGAACTCTCCGACGGCCCGAACCGGCAGGCAGAAAAAAAAGAGAACACGCCCAATCCAGGAACCACCCTCCACCTTCCCCGAACCACTCGAATCCCGCACCTCTCACTCTCTCCCGATCCCCCATGGCGCCGCCGCCGCTACCTGCCCCACGCCGTCGTTGCTACGACCTGCCCAGACCACCGCCTCGCCATCTGCCCCGCACCGCCCACCACCGCAATTCAGCCATCAAAAAATCGGGCGCCGCCACCCGTTTCTCCTACCGCTGCTCGCCTTCTAGTACCATGTCCCTCTCAAGTCTCCCCCACGCAGGCCCCGCCGTGCATCCGATGACCCTACAACAACCATGGATGCGGGAGGAGAGGTCGCCGGATCCCAGTGCGCTGCCGCCTACCCAGGCGCCTCCACTGGGCACCGCTACCTCGCGGCCAAGCGCAGCAACCAACCGCCGGAGCACGCACCATCCGACGCCCTCGCGTCAGCGCACCACCCCTGCTTCCTCTGTAGCCATGCATCACGCGTTGAGCACCACCAGCAGGTTCCGTCCCCCTCCTCCTCGATGTGAAGGGGAGACGACCCCCAACTCCGGCGAGCCCAGAAAATGACCTTCCCCGTGGCGCATGTCTGAACTGCAACCTCGATCTTCTTCCTCTGGAGTTAAAGCAACTGATGCTAGCAATTTGTTGATGCTGCTCCTCCTCCTGCTCGTGTAGGCCGAGCTGCTCCCTCGAGCTTTGCTGCCCTTCTGCCTCCATCCTCTCCCCACGAACTACCAGAACCAGAGCTGAGGGAAGCTGCAGTAGCAGCTGGGAGCAAGTCGCTCAAAAGAATTGGAAGATGCTCGTCTTTTTAGCCGCGAAATATGCAGTGTCGGTATGGTCGACAAAAAAATGGACATGACCCTGGAGTGGCTTCTTACCACTACTACAACGACCTTGTTGTTAACATCATTCGTCCACTCTACACGTCAGAAGTTATCTTCTTCCCACAAGACATTCAGCCAGTGTGTTTACTGTTCTTGTTGTGCTTCTACCACCAGATTGCTCTCTTCCCCCTTCGGCCCTTCGTGTGGTGATTTTGCTGCACCTGTGACGAGGAACAAGCAAATTCTCGCAAGCACACTTCAGCTCCGAATGAAACCTGACGCACGATCCGCTAGTCAACAGTGAGGAGACTGAAAGAAGTAGCATCAGAGAGGAAGGTAAGTCCAGAGGCACTGATGTCTTAAATCACACCGTTTTGAAACAAACCGACGATCATTACCAAGCTTTCTTCAAGGAAAAAGAACCAGGACAAGACCGATATTGATGGAGCGTTTTTGACCATAAGTTGTTTCTCTAGTTTAAATACTGATGACAGCCAGTCTCCCTGCTTCTTGCCCCATTTTGTTTGGTGATGTGTATCTAATGTGTACGACATTCGTAAGATCAGCTCCCCCTTTTAGCAAGTTACTAGAAGCCGAGAACGGCTGTAGTGCTTAGATTGTTCTTGTTCTGAGTTGGAGAAGCTAGAGGCACCAAGCAAAAATGTGGGTCACTCTTTTCGGTGGCAAACAACGTTGCCAGTGAGCAATAATTTTTGAAGGGAAGGAACCACATTTGAGTATCCGGTTGATAAATTTGCAATTAAGCTAGCGTCTGGCTGGCTGCTGGTGGAAGGCTTGCGATTCTAAAGAATCTTTGATGCAATGTTGTTTGCCCTGACTGTTCGCTTCCCTGACTTAGCCAACGGCTGAAATAAAAGACATTTCATTTCCAAGTAATATTGAAGTTTAGAGACATTTCATTTCGTAGCTTGTACTGTTGCTTCAGTGATAAGATGTCATTGGTTCATTACACATGAGTGCCTGACAGCCTGAAGCCTCTGCTACCCCCTGCAGTGTCGGTAATATACCTGGTCGTTGTTGTCATGTGTGGACTGCAGGGACGGTCGAATCCGACCTTCCTAGGCATCACCTTTCTTCCTTCTCTCATTCATGTTCTTGCATCTAAGCTCCACTCATGTCTACTATTTCAGTCTATATTCTCAGAAGTACCAGAGATTCCAAATAAAAACATGGCCTTTATATATTCATGCATATTCAGACTCACTCATCTCGCTTGTTCAATTCATTCATTCATCAGGAGGGGACTTGCTTGTGTGTTTAAATCTGCAGTGCAACAAAAGTTGATTCTTCGAAACCAATTCAAGGACATTGATCTGAAAAGCAGACGACCGCCTTCTGCTACTACCATCGAGCGATGCCCGCTGCACAACGCGCCGACTATTACTATGCTTTTTTTTTGAACAACAAAAGGCGCACGAAGCGCCAAACTTTCCATTCAGCTCAGCTCAATAGCAACGTATAGCATGAATTACAAAGCCCTCAAACTCGAAATTAGAGGAGAGAAACTACAGGGCAAGCCATGTCCCTGTGAGCCGAAGCAAAACAACATATGTCAGGTTCTACATTTGATGTAAGAACCTGATGAGCGACGTTGTGAGCAATTCCATTAATTTCCCTAGAAATATGGAACACTCTAGGTTGAAGGTCTGAAGAGTAGCAGAAGAAATCAGCTAAAACTTTCCTGATAGTCCAAGGGGTAGCAGTTTCAGTAATCTTTCTACTAGCCGTAAATGAAGCCAAAGAGAGACAGTCTGTGAGGAAGGTCGGCTGGCTGATGTTGAGACATTTAGCTACTTTTGCAGCCAAGAGAAGAGCAAACGCTTCAGCCTGCAGAGGAGTACTTGTAATTGAGGTGGAAGCTTGAATCTGCACGCTGACTTCCTTCTGATCGTGCGGCAAAGAAATGTAGATACCAACTCCAGTGGCTGCTGTTCCCTGCAATAAACCTGGAATTTTTTTGCACTTAAAAGATGCATCAGTATATACTTTCGGTCCCGTGATAAGAAGATCTGATTTAAGCGTTTGTCCCTGCAAGGGAAGTTGATTAGTATGGGTTAAGATACAACTGGAGTTTTGAGGCTGATGGTGTGAAGAACTGTTAAGCAGATCACAGAAATCATTAGATAGAGAAGTAGCAGCAATATTAACTTGGTGAGGGGTAGCTTTCTTTCTATTAAAAAGATAATCATTCCTCGCTTTCCAAAGACACCACATAAAATTTAGAATGTTGACAACAGAAGCATGCGGATGGTTCATATTAAGTAAAGCAAGAATAATACTATGGATATTGGTATAGATCTGAACTAAAGCATCTGTTCTGATGAACCAAGGATGAGAAAACCAAGCAGCTCTAGCGAAGTCACAAAGAAAAAACATGTGAACCTCATCCTCTTGCTGACCACATCTGCAACAATATTGAGAAATATGTACGGAAAAGCGCCCAACCCTTAAACCTGTGGGAAGAGCTTTCCAAAGGAGTCTCCAAGCGAAAGTTTGAACTCTGGGGATCATCAACTTTTGCTTCCAAATCAACTTGAGAAGATTTTTCATCTGCAAAAAAACTTGGGAAGGAGTATTTCTTGGATTGGCATGAATATCCTGCAAACACAATTTATAAGTGGACTTGGAAGAACAAGTACCATTAGGAGTTAGATCCCAACATGATATATCCGGGCAATCTTGGTGAATAATGTCAGTTTGAACGATAACAGAGGCTAGAGGCTGTTGAAAGAGAGAGTTAATGAGGTCATTGTTCCAGATTTTCTGACCCGGTATCCAAAGGTCCTTAACAAGAGAAGGATATATGTATCCTGAAGGCTGAATAATAAGATTGTCGTGAACAGAAGCCCAAAGGGAACACCAAGGGGTACTCCAAAGAGAGATATTCCCTTGCGTGAGTTGGTAAAAAGAGTGATCTTTCAGTTTAGGCAACATTTTTAAAATGGATGACCAGAAAGCAGATTTTGGAGTAGTAGAAATAGCAGTCCAAATAGAGGCATCATGGAAGTATTTAGATTTGAGCACAAGATGAAGGTGGGAGGAAGGGTCTTCAGCAAGCCTCCAAGCAGCTGCAAGAAGTAAGCCCTCATTAATTGCTTGCAAGTTCCTAATGCCAAGACCACCTTCCTGTTTGGAATTGCAAATGTCCTTCCAAGCCCTAAGACAAAGGCTCTTGTTAGAATTATTCTGTCTGATTCCTGTCCACCAAAAGTTCCTTGCAGTGAGTTTGGCTATAAACTTCTTGGTAAACAAAATATTAGACATGTAGTACACAGGAATAGCAGAGAACACAGACCTAATGAGCTCAAGCCTAGCAGCATGAGAGAGCATATTAGCTTTGTAAGCAGGCAATTTATTCAGAAATTTATCAATAACAAGTTGTAAGCAGCAGTTCTATTTTTAGCAGGAAGAATAAGCGGATGACCAAGGTGGGTGAAATTGTTATCCATGATAGAAACAGGAAAAACTTGCTTAATCTCTTGAATAGTGGTTTGACTAACATGAGTACTAAAAAGAATAGCAGATTTGGCCCAATTTGGTGTTCGACCTGAAATATAACAAAAGTGATGGATGAGTTGAGCCATAGAATTTGCTTCCTGCATAGTGGCTTGACCACAAACCAACAGATCATCTGCAAACAATAGAGAATGAATAGAAGGGCAATCTGGACCAAGTGAAATACCCTGGAGATGATGAGCAGCTAGAGCTTCATTAAGAGCAACAGATAATTCATTGATAGCAATAACAAACAAATAAGGCGACATGGGACAGCCTTGACGAATACCTCTGAAACTTTTAAATTTATGAGAAGGCTGCCCATTAATAAGCACAGAGAAAGTAGGAGAAGAAATGCAAGCATGAATCAAATTAATGAAATGACCATGCAGACCTTTATGTGCAAGAGCAGACACAATGAAACTCCATTCAAGACGATCAAAAGCTTTAGCAAGATCTATCTTGAGCATGAAAGCATGATGATTCCACGATTTTAGAGCGAAGGAGTGAGTAATCTCTTGAGCAATAATGATGTTATCGCTAATTCTTCTACCCTTAATAAAGGCTTGTTGTGCCGGATCAATATAGTTCGGAAGATGAGGCTTAATCCTATTAGCCAATGATTTCGCAATGATTTTGTAGACAACATTACAAAGGCTAATGGGACGATAATCCATAGGAACTTGAGGAACTAACTTTTTTGGAATGAGAGCAATATTAGTGTCATTGATATGAGGAGGTAAAATACCAGTTTTATAAAAGGTAGTCACAAGTTGAGTAACTTCCTCGCCAATCCAATCCCATGCTGCCAGATAAAATTCAACATTAAATCCATCCGGACCCGGAGAAGCATTCAACTTCATATCTTTGAGAATCTGCAAAATCTCATGTTTATCTGGAAGAAAGTAAGTAGGATCCAAGGAGTTGTCAGGCAAACGAGTATTAAGAAAAGGCCTTGCAGTGTTATTGTTTGGCGAAGAGAAGATGTATCTAAAATAATTGACAAAAGTATTAGTGATAGCACTAGGTTTAAAATGAAGCACATCATTTTCTTCTTTTGATCACAGCCTGAGGAAAAAACTTAGTATTACGATCACCAGCAGTGGCCCAACCCTTCTTACTTCTCTGTTTATAAAATTGATTGAGCTTAGAGAGAGTTTGTTCATACCTAAGAGTGAGAGAGCTTTCCAAAGTGTGATTTTGCTGCTGAATTGGAAGCTGCTGAATCTGATTAATACTGGACTCAATTTCCAAAAGCTCTTGTTGGAAGGGCTTTTTCTTCTTACACCACTTCTTGAAAGAACCTGCCAAAGAAGAAGACTTTGCTGCAAAAGAGGTAAAAGTGCAATTATTCCAAGCAGATTTTGCAAAGCTAGTAAAGTCTTTTTCAAGCAACCACCAGTTTTCAAATTTAAAAGTTTGCCTCGGCTTAAGAAAATTACCGTCTGTAGAAACGAGAATGGGCGCATGATCACTGAGAATAATAGGTAAGTTGAGCACTTTAGAATTAGGATAATGCGCACACCAGTCAGAGTTGACAAGGCATCGGTCTAGACGTCTGTAAATAGGATTAACAGTATGCTGTTTGTTACGCCAAGCGTACGCAGGACCACTAAAACCAATATTAAAAAAACCACAATTTTTAACAAGGGAACGAAAAGCAGACATGCGATAATAATTAACACTACCATTACAACCATCTGTATCATACAAGATGTCATTAAGGTCTCCAATACACATCATGGGCTTACCCAAGTTATCATACACAAAAGCAGAAACTTGACTCCAAATAGCACTAGTCTGCCTATGGTAGGGGTCACCATATATACAAATCAAACAAAAGTGAACACCCGAGGCTAGATGAACTACATTAGCTAAAATATAATGAAAGGAGGCACTATGAACAGACACAATGAGTTCATCATTCCACATAAGCCAGAGCCCTCCAGAGGCTCCTCTAGAAGGAACAACAAAACTATTAGCAACACCAAACCTATTAACAAGATCAACCGACCGAACCTTGGAAGATTTGATTTCGGAAACAAAGGTTACCTGAGCTTTAGTAGAACGAATCAGATTGGCCAGAAATAGCATACGTTCATTGCCGAGGTCTCGGCCCATACCTCGGCAATTCCAAGCTATGGCTTTCATGGCGCCCGAGACGCGTTAGGGCCATGCGCCGCTGCCCAAGAAAAAGAGTCGGTCATGTTCCCATGTACTACAGCATCAAATTCCATCTCCCCCCTGACCACTCCTAAGATCCACTCTATCTCGTTGGCAAGAGGAGCTAAAGTCATCCTGATATTCTACTGCAGCTTGACTCGAACTAGAAGGAATACAGGGTTGGGAGTAACGAAAGTGGGTTGTGTGTGTGGGGGGGGGGCGGGGGCGGTGTGTTATGTGTATCTCAGCAAGTTCAAATAATTTAAACATGCAAAAGAAAAACATGGGAGATTTGCGATTTTTTAGAACTTGAAGTGACAAACAAATTTAAAAAGAGCATAAACAAAATTTAACTCTATAAAATTCACTTCAAATCATTAACAGGAAAAAGAATGTTCTCTTTGTTCTCGAACAGAAACAAAAATTAATAAAAAAAAGGGAATGTAGTTTACTCTTTACAAAATCCTTAGAAATGTTTCGTTAAATCAATTGTGCTTCTCTGCTCTGTACATGTCATTGATATTGCCAACAAGCATACTATTTTCCAAAAAGTGGTTTGATATATATTACATGACTAGATTTTTTTTCTGCTACTAAGAAATAAACCAGGAAGTCCAAATTAAAAAGATGGAGAAGTTTGATGATTATAGAAACTACGATTTTTCTCATTATTTAAGAATGCAAAACAAGAAGTTCAAAATAAAGTAATGCAAAAAGTTTGATGTATAAAAAATGGAAAATTTGAATCTGTTGATGGGAAGGACATAAGAAGTTCACACAAAAAATAATACAATAGTACAAAAACAAGAGAGCACTTTGAAATGGATATTTCATCGTTTCTAATAAAAAATTAAGAAGTTCAGATTTTAAACATAGAGCAGTTCAAAAAATCGTAAAAATGGGATTATCACCATTTCTAGAAAAACACTAGAAGTTCAAATTTAAAAAACAGATCTGTTCAATATTTATTACAAAACTTGGATTTCGCCGTCACTGAAAGAAAATAAACTAAGAAGTCCAAATTACAAAATAGAGAAGTTCGATATTTATAAAGAAACTCATATTTTCCTTATTGCTAAAGAATAAAAATGATGAAGTTCAAATTAAAAAAGAGGAGTAGTTTGATGTATACGGGAAACTCAAATTATTACCGTTGTAAGAAAAATAAAACTATGAAGTTCAATTTACAAAAAATAATGTTTGGGGCGCAACAGGTTTAATGCTTGTTACAAACCCAAAGAAGGTCATTAAAAAAGGCATCTCAAACAATTTTATATAAAAAAAATTTCTCTCTTAAAATAAACCTAGAAGTTCAAATTTAAAAACGGGGTGGCTCGATGTCTATCAAAATGTAGGATTTTTTCTGTTGCTAAAAGAAATTAAAGTAGGAAGTCCATATTAAAAAGATGGAGAAGTTCGACGGTTATAGAAAACTCAGATTTTCCTCGTTATTAAAGAATGGAAACAAGAAGTTAAAAAATTAAATAACAAGAGTTTCAACTTTTAAAAATAGAGCGTTTCAAAATTTCATAAAAAAGATTAATAAAAAACCAGGAAGTCCATATTAAAAAGATGGAAAAGTTTGATAATTATAGAAAACTCAAATTTTCCTCGTTATTAAAGAATGGAAACAAGAAGTTTAAAAATAAAATAACAAGAAGTTCAAGTTTTAAAAATATAATGCTTCAAAATTTCATTAAAAAGGATTAAGAAATAAAATCAGGAAGTACATATTAAAAAGATGGAGAAGTTCAATGATTATAGAAAACTCATATTTTCCTCGTTATTAAATAATGGAAACAAGAAGTTCGAAAATAAAAAACAAGAAGTTCAACTTTAAAAAATATAATGCTTCAAAATTTCATAAAAAAAGATTAAGAAATAAAACCAGGAAGTCCATATTAAAAAGATGGAGAAGTTCGATGATTATAGAAAACTCAGATTTTCCTCGTTATTAAATAATGAAAGCAAAGAAGTTCAAAAATAAAATAATAAGAAGTTCAACAATTAAAAATAGAGCACTTCAAAATTCATAAAAAAAGACTAAGAAAAATCAAATAAAAAATTCATAAAAAAACTTAAATATTTTCACGTAACCGAGAGGTCCAGGTTGATAACTGCCAGAAGTTCATCTACTACACGGTGTGCATTTTTTATTGAAAAAAGAATAAAAAAATCAAAGGCTAAAAGTTTTGTTGTTATAAGTTCAAGCACTTCGTCGGAGAAAATTAAAAAAATTATTGTGAGAGAGATTTGCACAAAAGGAATATCATTTGTGTAACACTGACGATGGATGAGAAAATTACAAACGAAAATACGTCATAGAAGTTCAACTGAAAACAGCAGGAAGTTCAATTACTATAGTGGATGAATTTCAGATGAAAAACTTTTAAAATTGTCGCGAATATGAAAAAATGATCAACACGGAAAGTTAAGTGCTTACAGCAGCTTTCCACCGGTATATCACTTGTTCAATTCCGATGAGTGGATGGAGAGTTACGGGCAGTGGATGGAGACCTACGAGCAAAAATATCATGTGAAAAATAGAGTGAAGTTCAGGTACACGCGCCGAGAAGTTCAGGTTCTTCACGCGGTGCATTTTCGAAGAATCTGTTTCGCGATATAGGCAGAACACATGATCCCGCCGTTTTCGAAGTTACTTGAAAACGGCT